TTAGTACAGTTCCTGACTCAATTATCTCACAGGCACAGAGGAGGAGTTTACTGACTGTATAAATGTGGTGTCTGTACTGCCAGTAACCAGTCTTCTCCCAGCATTAAGCCTTGGCTCATGTTTGGGGGGTTATGTGAAACCGGCGATATTATACCTCGTGGATTATTGGTATGTTATTATGGGAAAAGGGCATCCGTGGTGGTGATACTTTGACAGACTGCCACACCTGTGTTCCTCTTACCTGTGCCTATATTTACTATGAATGCTCAAAATAAAACAAAAAATAATAGGTGCTGTATAGGAATGTATCATGGAGATCCAGAGTAATTAAACTCACCGTGAAAGTGTATACAAATTAGATTGTTTCAACAAAAATATATTAGTTTTGATGTAATGTTACCTATGCTACTTATGCAAGATCACAAAGACACATTACATCCTGGAATGTTTTCTTCTTTTCTAGCTAACCATGATAGCATGTCTTTGGAATACACAAGAACATAAGAAGGTGCAGGACAAATTCAAATTTTCAAACATGCATATTAAACTATCATACCAGAGATAAAATTCCTCTCACATTTGGATGGTCTTCTTACAATTTTATCAAAATAGGAATTAAGTAATGTTTCCAATAAGACCACATTACATTTATATGAATCAAGTGGGAAAGAACATCTGCCTAAAAACTGCAAGAAGTGGATATAGAACTTGTAGAGTACAATCTGACAATGATTATTGCCTTGAGTACCAAAAGTCTCAAAGGTAAACATATAAATCTGGTTAGGACTGAGACATTGACGCTATTCTCTCACACACTACGCATATGAAGCAGCAACTATTGAAATTTATCCAAAAGTCCTCAGAGTGCACCTGCCAAGTCGTATGTATGGGGTCTGGAGTTTTTGCCAATTGACAGTGAGTGATGGGCACAGAGTATATATATATATTTACATGTTGAGATCAATATCAATCTTCTCAGAGTTGAGGTATAGATGGCTACTCCATTTCTAGATCCATAAGGAATTAGAGTATTAGATTTTCATAAATCTTGCTTTATAGAAATACCGGTACAGAGGCATTTGGCTACATTTCATTTGTGTCATGGAGCTTCATGCGCAGACTCTTGATTAGGAAAATGGTCATGTGAGGCAAACAACTGGCAACAAGATGAGAATGAGGATGAAGCTATGGCCAGTGAAAAATGCCAAAGACCAGTTGGGGCTGGTTGGGAAGGGTGGAGTTGTTAAGGTAAGGTAAATCAAGGAGGCAATAAATGGGCTAAGGTCCCAATGATGTAAGGAAACACTATGACGTTTCCTCTTTAGTGCCCTTCATTTCAGGGAGGTCAAGGGCAATGCACTTCAGAAACACTGAGTGTGGGCAACTTTGAGTGAGGCAGGCCAGTGCTGCTCAATGTTAGCCTAGCATGTATTCATGCCAAGCTGACATGCTTCCTACCATTTTTATGGGCAGATCCATGTCTCAACATGTTACTGGTCTATACTCTTGTGTTTTGTGAATGCAGAAATGCCAATGTTGGGAGGTATGCCTAATGTGACTGCATATCTATATTTGTTTACTGAATATGCTATTGGCATTGAGTTGGCTTGGGTATATTGGTGTGTGCTTAGGACACATGTTTTAGTTGGGAGGGCTAGGAAGGACACAAATATGTTAAATGTCACATACACCTGTATGCATGTGCTTTACACAGGGGAGGGCTGGCAGCCTTAGGCCTGGGGGGCAAAACCAGTCAAGAGGCCCATTGCACCACCAAATCAGTGCAATGGTGCCCACCTTTTCCTGGATTTATAACGGATATTGATGTTATGCTAATCAGTAGCTCTTTGCCATACCCACTCCTTCACGGCTCTGACTTTCAATGTTGTCAGAGCCCAGGCTGAGAATCTCTGAGCCTGTGCTCTGACTCACTAACTGAGCGCCGGAACCACGAGGGAGAGGATATAATCTGACTGCACCTACTGCTGGTGCGCACCAGTGGACCACCAGCGAATCGTTTAAATTGAATAGGCTGGTGTCCCCAACTTGTGAGCTGTGTTGTCCGCCGGGCGCCTCTGTTGTGATGGCACCCTGCGTGACCGCACAGCCTGCACACCCCAATGGCTGGCCCTGCTGACACACACTGATGTTACTACTTAGAAATCCCTCAATATTAATACAGACAGCAGAGTAAACACCAATAAACTGTGGAAACAGATCTGATCCCATCCAAATTTATAAAGATTTGCTTACTGGATTTGTTGTAAGATTAAATCATGCCTCCTCCCCTCTCTCTCCCATGCGCTGCTCTGTAAGCTGGGAGGAAGTGAAGAGTAATCACAATCTCTCAGCACAGTGGCACCTGTGGCTGCATGGGGAACAGCTGTATTTGCCGCCCCCATGTGACATCACAATGCCCCACCTATATGAGCTGCCATACGAACTAACGCCAGTGCTGCCCACAGTGTGTGTTTACATTTAAAAGCCTGCAGGGACCGCCTATAGATACCAGAACCACTTCATTAAGCTCCAGTCATTCTGGGGACTATAGTGTCCCTTTAATGTAATGAAAATTATAGATTAGTGTCACTAATAATATACTAGATTGCCTACTTACAACCAGATGAGGATGATGATGGGCTGCAGTTTGGCTCCACTGGTCTGGTGTAGAACAGAATCTCTGGAGGCTGTTTGCAACTGTGGTCACAAAATTCAATGTTCTGGGAGAATTGGAAGCAGCTCCATTTTTGGAAGGGCCCCTTACACAGCTCAAGGTCTGGGCCCCAGGGCCTGACGGTGAGTATGCCCACAAGGCCCACTCATAAGTCCATTTATATGTTCCACCCACCCATGAGTTCGCTCACAGGGAGTGGAGTGTGTAGGGGATGTGTTATGTGTTATTGTAGAGCAGGGGTTCTCAACATTAGTCCTCAGGCCCCCCTACCAGTCCAGGGTTTAGGGATTACCTGGGTGTGTCTAAGGTGTTTTTTTCCCTTTTTCTAAACACCTGAGACACACCAAATATCCCATCTGTTTGTGCATGAAATCCCTGAACATTAAAACCTGTAGAATCTAATATGTGTGTGCTGCCATGGTATGTAGTGTATAGGAATACCAGTTTGTGTAGGTGATGCAGTGTGTTTGTGTGTAGTGGAAGCAGTGTGTATTTGTGTATAAGGGATGTATTGTGTGTTTCTGGTTGTGTGTAAGGGATGCATTGTGTGATTCTGTGTTTGTATGCATAAGGGATGCAAGGTGTGTGTCTGTAAGTGTGTGTTAGTGATGCATTGTGTTTCTGTGTGTATGTAAGAAAAGCAGTGTGTGTGTAAGTGTTTGCATTATGTGTTTCTGTGTATGTGTGCAATGGATGCATTGTCTTTGTGTGTAAGTGTTGCATTGTTTGTGTGTAATGGATGCATTGTGTGTTTCTCTGTGTGTAAGGGAAGCATGTTGTGTTTCTGTGTGTGTAGGGATGCATTGTGTGTGTGTGTGCGCATAGTGTCCTCTCCTCCCTGTGTCCTCCTCACCTCCCCCTCCCTGTGTTCTCCTCACCACCTACCCTCCCTGTGTTCTCCTCACTACCCACCCTCCCTGTGTTCTTCTCAGTCCCCCACTTCTCCTCATCTCCCCTTCTCCTCCCTCTTACTCTCCCCCTCCTCCTTGTGTTCTTCTTACCCCCCGTTTTTCAAACCCCCCTTCTTCTTCTTACTCCCCCTCCTCCACCTTCTGTTACTCCCCCCCTCCTTCCCTTACTCCCTCCCTTCACTTACTCCCCCCCCATCTTCCGCCTCCCCCTCCTTCACTTACTCCCTCCCTTCACTTACTCCCCCCTCTTTCACTTTCTCCCCCCTCCTTCATTTACACCCCCCATCTTCACTTACTCCCCCCATCACTTACACCCCCCATCTTCACTTACTCCCCCCATCTTCACTTACTCCCCCCATCCTTCATTTACACCCCCATCCTTCATTTACACCGCACTCCTTCATTAACACCCCCCATCTTCACTTACTCTAATCTTCCGCCACCCCATCCTTCATTTACACCCCATCCTTCATTTACACACGCCTCCTTCATTTAACACCCCCATCTTCACTTACTCCCCATCTTCCATTTTGCCCATCCTTCATTTACCCCCCATCTTCCACTTACTCCCCCATCACTTACTGTTCCCCTTCACTTACTCCCCCCCTCTTCGCCTCCCCCTCCAGCCATTTACATCCCCATCTTTACTTACTCCCCCTCCTTCACTTACTTCTCCCCCCTTCGCCGTCCCCCCCTCCACTTACTTCTCCCTTCCTTGCTTCTCCCCCCCTCCCCTTCCTTGCTTCTCCCCCCTCTCCCCTCACTTGCTTCTCCCCTCCCCCTTCATAGGTCTCCCCCCTCCGCCGCTTTAGCCACTTGCACTTCTCCCCCCTCCCTTCTTGGCTTCTCCCCTCCCCTCACTTGCTTCTCCCCCTCCCCCCTCACTTGCTTCTCCCCCTCCTCCTTCACTTGCTCCCCCTCTTCGCCTCCCCCCCTCCTTCGTTTTACACCCCCCTCCTTCGATTTTACACCCCATCTTCATTGCTCCCCCCTCCTTCGTTTACATCCCCATCTTTGCCTCCCCCCCCTCCTTCATTTACATCCCCATCTTTGCCTCCCCTCCTTCACTTGCTTCTCCCCTTCACTTCGTCTCCCCCCTCCGCTTGCTTCTCCCCTCCCCTTCATTCCTCCTCCCCCCTCCCCCTTCCTTTTCTCCCCTTCACTTACTTCTCTCCCCTTCACTTGCTTCTCTCCCAGCCCTTGCTTCTCCCCTTCACTTGCTTCTCACAGCTAAGCGCCTTCTCTCCCAGCCACTTACTCCTCCCTTCACTTACTCCTCCCCCCTCCCCTTCACTTACTCCCCCCTCCTCACCTCTCCCCTGCCCTCCCCTGTAGCGTGGCCGAGCTGCTTGCTGGTCCGCGGTGCCCAGCCGGAGTGATAGGAAGGTGCACGCTGAGTGTGCACTTCCTGTCAGTCCGGCCGGTTACAGGAAACAGAAACTCCGCGCGGAACAGGAGTTTCTGTTTCCTGTAACCGGCCGAACTGACAGGAAGTGCACACTCAGCGTGAGCCTTCCTATCAGTCTGGCCGGGCACCGTGGACCAGCGAGCAGCTCGGCCACGCTACAGGGGAGGGGGGGAGAGGAGCAGCTGCAGCCGCCTGAGGCTCTTAACAGAGCGCTCAGGCGGCTGCAGCATTTAAAGGGCCGGCCCTGCAGCGGCCGGTCCCAACAGAATTTAGGGCGGCCTGGGGGGCAATTGCCTCCCTGCCCCCCGGACCAGCCCGCCCCTGCCCGTCCTACACCGAAAAGCACTGTGAGCGCCTGAACCGGCCATGCGGCCTAAACTAGAGCGGAACCTGAAGCCAGGGGGAGGCCGGTACGGGACCCGCTTACAAGTGAGAATCAAACACTGCCCTGCTACCCCCCTCTCGACCGTCGGGGGATATCCTGGTCTTCGCTGGGGACGAATACCCCCGTAGTACTATTCGAACAAGCGATAAAACCTGCAGTCACACGAAACTATCAGAGCCCAATTAAGATGTTGGCGCAGGCACGGCCTGCATCGAGGATCACCCCTGCCAAGCCACCCAAGCACACCCTGGGGTTCTTTGACCGGCTCTGTGCACACCTATGGACAAAGCTCCGTACCAAGAGCCAGACCTTCAAACTAACGATGAAAGAGGTGGCAGCATGGATTCGCCATGCAACCCGGCACCTCCTGTGTGGCTACCCGCCCAGAGCCCCCAGAGAGGCCTCCCGACGGGGACAATGCCGAAGAACAAGAAGGCGGGAAGCGGCGACATGTCTCTCGGGTGCCAGTAACAGCAATTGCACTCACACACGCCAGTGTGGGAACATCCAGCATGCCCGGCCTACTTACCACCCAGAGGCATCGGAACCTACCGAACAGCGGAACGCCGCTTCACTATTACTTTACTGAGAGGGTAGTGGATGCATGGAATAGCCTTCCAGATGAAGTGGTAGAGGTTAACACAGTAAAGGAGTTTAAGCATGCGTGGGATAGGCATAAGGCTTTAGAAAAGGCTTTGGAAAGTATTTAGAAAATTGGGCAGACTAGATGGGCCGAATGGTTCTTATTTGTTGTCACATTCTATGTTTCTATGTTTCACGTCTGAAGACTAATGCTGACGGCCGCGATACTACCCGAGCTCCAGCTCAGCTTCCTATTAGTGCGGGAGCCAGGCAGAGAGCCCCTCCAAGGCACATCGGAGATGGAACCTGGCTGAGGCATCAACCCAGCCCTTCTCCCTGGGACATCAGTCGAGCCTCCAGAACCGCCATCAGCTGATTGATAGGGACTAAACCAGAGACTGTCTATGTTATTATCTGTATGTAGCGCTACACCTTCTTTTGCATTTTGTTGTCAGACTGGCTATGCTCCGGAGTGCCCAGACGCGGATATACTACTCGATCTCACCGTACTATTTTTATACAAAGTGCAGTTATACCTCTCTGCTCTCATATCTTTCAGCATTCAATATAACTGTTCTAAACCTAGACTGCATAAGATCTAACACTGTTCCATTACTTTTCACTCAGGTGACACGTTAGAAGGCTTCAGCCTGCTTAAGATGTGTATAAAAAACTACCACACTCACACGGACACACACGCATGCCCCACTCATCCTGGCACCCAAACCTTTAACCCTACGACATGTAATAAAACATAGAAGCATAATATGGGACCTAATAGTCTTAATCATAAACAGCATACACCTCCCCGCAAACACTCAAACGTGTCACATCTCATTCATAATTCAATGCCAACATATTGCTCCACCAGACATTAGCCACAACTTGGAGGTATGCTATTATTCATCCTTCTGATATGCCAGTCATCATAACCTTGTAGCATTACTCCAGCTTACTCACCACCAGGCATGCCCGGTGTCACCCTATTCACTGCTAAGCTTGTTGCACACTACTGCGCTGCCAAACATCCAGGGACACTTACTGACACAGCGTATTCCAGGTTCCACTGTTAAGCCTTGTTTATAAAAGCACTAAATAAGCCTGTTATTTACTACTCAAATGCTTATATCTTGAATCGTAATTTTTGTTCTATATTTAAAAAATATATGCAAACCCAACATGCCATAACACTGTTTTGCTAAGACCATATAAACCGAGCCCGCTGATGCTGTTGTGGCGATACAGGCACTGTTGTACCTACCTGTATATCAAAAATAAAGAATTTTTAAAAAAATACACTTCGATATATATATATATATATATATATATATAATTTCATTCTATGTTATGTATAACGACTGTGGATGTACTGAGTACGTCCGACAAAAAACGGTCGTTAAGGACCGCAGACGTACCTAGTATGTTCGCGGCAAATAGGAGCCCTGGACTTACCTGGTCTGGCGATCTGCGGCGATCACGGTCAGGGGGGGACTGCCGAAGACCCCAGCAGTCCCCCTGCAGCAGCTTCGGACCTCCAGGGCCATGTGATCACCATGATCACATCGCCATAATAGGACTATAGGAGCTGCCAGCAGGTGGACTGTCTGAGCTGTCAGGCTGTCCCTCAGGCTGCTAAAAAGTAAAAAAAAAAAATGCTATACATTTTTTATATATGTATAATATATTACAAAATAATTAAATCATTTTATAATATATTATACATATATAATGCATATATATGATTTCATTATAAGTGTACTTTGAGATATATACACATATATCTCAAAATACACTTATAATGAAATCATATATATGCACTATATATGTATAATATATTATAAAATGATTTATTTACAATATATTATACATATATAGGAAATAAAAGTGTGTGTGTATATATATATATATATACATATATATATATACACAAGCACACACACAAATTATATACACACATATTATATGTATATGTGTGTGTATATATATATATATATATATACATACACACACAGATTTTATATAGGAATATAAATTGCAAAAGAAAAACATTTATTAAAAAACTAATAAAAACGCTAACTTTGGCCAGCATTTGTGACTAAGTGGCAACTACAAAAGACTGGACATACCCCATTTTGAATACCCTACATTTGAAAATGCTATGCCATGATGGAGTTGTTTCACATTTCTGGGCTACCATATAGTTATAAAAGGCAACACAGACCCATCTGGCAAACTGAATTGGGCAAGCCCTATATTGACCCTGTAACTTTCAAAAACACCATAAAACCTGTACATGGGGGGTATTGTTAGACTCGGGAGACTTCGCTGAACACATATATGAGTCTTATAAATCAGTAAAACGTATCATGACGATGAAATCCACAGTAAAAAAAATATTTTTTTGTGTAACAAAAAGGCAAAAAAATTAATAAAAACGCTAACTTTGGCCAGCGTTTGTGACTAAGTGGCTACTACAAAAGACTGGACATACCCCATTTTGAATACTGTGGGTTGTCTACTTTTACAAATGGTATGCCATGATGGGGTTAATTTTCATCCCTGGGCTGCTATACGGTCTCAAAGGCAACATAGGCCCTGCAAACCAATCTGGCAAATTTCAATGTGCAAAAATGGAAAAGGGGAAATTTAACCCCTGTAAGTTTGGGAAAACCCATAAAACCTGTACATTGGGGGCACTGTTGTACTCAGGAGATATTGCTGAACACATTTCGGGGTGTTCTTGGCAGTAACACATAACAGGAACTGAGAATCCATGCCTAAAAAGTACAATGTGAGAGAAAAATAACAAAAAAAAACTACCCAAAAGTTTGACAAAGACTGGTGGTAGAATTAGTGCATGGAAAGTGTTAAAATACCACCATTTTAAATACCCTAGGGTGTCTACTTTTAAAATATATATGGTTCAATGGGGTTAAATTACATTGGCCAACTTCATAAATGTCCCAAGTAGGACATGGGTGCATGATGACCAGCTGTGAAAATTCCAAGTTGGAAAACTTAAATGCACACCCTCCAAATAAGGTCTTATAGCCCCCAGAGAACCCGACATACCTATACATAGGTGGTATCACTGTATTCTGGAGATGTTGCTGAACACCTATTGGGATGTTCTTTGTCAGTAACACAAAACAGACAGCCACTAGATGAGGAGTTAATCCTGCAAGGTAAATATTGCAGTTTATGAAAATTGCAATATTTACAGTTGCAATGTTAAGGGTAGTGGGCGTTGGCTCCCAGACCACTCTAATGGGCAGAAGTGCTGGGTGCCTGGAGTGTCTCTTTAATGCAAGTGCTTTATGTTCTGGAGAACCGATTATATTACTAATCCCTGTAAGATAAATTTACGTCTCAACACTTACGTTCATATACTTAAATGTTTATTGTGATGTGTGAACAAAACGTCTAATCACCAAGTAAACTATACTCAAATAGGAAGCTTAATCTATTATAGCAATTTATCATGTCACTGAACTATTATGCACTCAAAAGGTATGTGCCAAATATCATCGTGTGCATCAAGTTTCAAACATCATATTATCTTTCATAGCCAGGAAATGTATGTCATTCTTATGTGCCCACATTGGAGGGGCTACAATGAAGATTGACAAGGTATTAAATTCTGTAACTAATAGTGAAAGTCCCACTGATACACCAGTGGGTCACTGACCTTAAAGAGGAGCTGTAATTGTAGGACATACTTGAAAATTGTAGTAAAAAAGCAAAAGTTGCAAATTAATTGTGTTGTTTCTCAAATAAACTCTATTTAAAGTAGAATTGTCACCTCAATCCACTATCTTTTAAAATAACGATCTATTCATTAAAGGACCACTATAGTGCCAGGAAAACATACTCATTTTCCTGGCACTATAGTGCCCTGAGGGTGCCCCCACCCTCAGGGTCCCCCTCCCACCCGGCTCTGGAAGGGGGAAAGGGGTTTAAACTTACCTTTTTCCAGCGCTGGGCGGAGAGGTCTCCTCCTCTCTCTCCTCCTCGTTCCGCTGAAAACACGCCAAGAAAGAGTTTTCATTCAGTTGGTCACACACAGGAAAGCATCATAATGCTTTCCTATGGATTGGTGTGCTCACCG